TCCTCTCGAGATTTTGGGCACACACACACACAAGCACTTGTCACAAGTTTCAAGTTGATTGGCCGATACTCTAACTGTGGTTGGCCATGGGGGAGTCCAGCACCTTAACCACTATGCTACTTGCTGGCCCCTTAGAAATTTCTTATCTCAAGAAGGCTTCTGCCTGGGGACATGTACCAAGAGATAAGGGCGTAAGAGGGATGGCTTCAATTCATTGCCCATTTCTCAGGAATCATTAGGTTAAGATGCTTGCAATACCCTTCCATGCCACTCCCTCTTGAATGCTCGGTTCCCAGAAGTGTGCCAGTTTGTAGCTACCTGTCTGCAACAAACCAGATGACCCAGTGCTCCACTGACAGTGAACATTGTGGGGGCTTGGAGACTCCAAGTCCTGCTCCCTGCTTCTAGAAGCTACAGCCTGTAGCAGGGCGTGTACCTATTCACCACAGGCTGGACTCAAGCCGGCACTTCCAGAACGGTACTCCCGGTCTAACAGTGAAGATTAACTGGAACCCCGTAAAAAAAAAAAAAAAAAAAAGGTAATTATTTATTCCACCTTTTGGAATTTGATTCAGCAAAAGAAAGATGAAAACTGCCTGCACAGATCACAGATGTCAGGAACCAGTTGAGTAGGATACATCTACAGATCGGTTGCAATGCCCACAGTAGTGCTTAATTTATACTTGTTGACTGACTAGACTGCTCAGTGGGACTTCTGAAATACTGCTCTTTTGGCATTTTCTTTAATAAGAATATTTTTCATTTATATTCTTGGTATATCTAATCAAGAACTTTAATAAGGATCTTTAGGTAGAGGAAGACCAAGCAAGTCCCTGGAGCTTCCTCATTCCATGAAACAACTAAAATGCTTGAGAACAGTTATGGTGGAGAAATTCTTAATGCTACCAGAAACAGAAAATAAGTAAGTAAATTTTTTAAAAGAATCATTTTTATTTAACTTTATTTATTTATTATCATTATTATTATTATTATTAACTTGAGAGACAGAGAGAAAGAGGGAAAGTGAGAAAGCAAGCCACTAGATCTGGGACTTGAACCATGGTTGGCTCTGTGGGAGTCCAACACTCTCAACCACCATGCCACCTGCTGGCCCTGAAAGTAAATTATTTTTTTTAAAAAATGTTCATTTATCTTCATACAGCACAATTCAGGCTACTTCTTTATCCTGCTACGCCTAAACAGGAGCTCTAGAATTAAAACAAGGAAACTATTTTCACTTTCATTCAAAGTTTCAATGACTAAGTTTAATATCAATGACACTTTTTTCTTTTTTTTTTTTAAGGAAGAGTGATGATTTCAAAAAGAGTTTTTCTTCTCAATGCAAAATACTATCTTTGATCTTAGTTTAGGCTGAAGCCATCTGGCCTCAATGACAACTCTGGGCTCCAGGCAAGCAGCTTATCTGAAGGACAATTACAAATGGAGATGAAGGCACTAACCACAAGACATTGCCGAGCACAGGGCCCAGTCCCCAGTAAGTGCCTCAAACTTTCAAGAGCTTCTCCCCTATCTCCAACCAGAGAGCAGCACCAGGTTGCCTCACCAGACAGCTGTTGGGAATAAGACATGGCATCATCATGAGAAAGCAGGACACACACATGAATTGTTGTTGGTGCTGCATGTTATCCCATTAGATTTCCATGTTTTCTCATTTGCTGAGAGCTGCTATCCCATCTGGTCTTCCAGAAGCACTGTGTGAAATACCGGGACATCCGGGTCCTATTTCAGAAACCCAGAATCTGAAGCCCCTGGTACGTGGAGGCATCACACAAGTGGTATTGCACAGACTCCTCTCCCGAGAGTCACCGCAAAACCCCACATGTGTGGGCCACAGAGCCTGTGACAAGTACTCCCCCTCGGCAGAGTTTAAGTGCCCTGAGAGTGACCATAAGAGGCCGCACCCCTGCTTGACTCACCCATATACTAGGTATCCACATCAAAATAAACAGCGATAATGTCCTGACTTAACAGGGGAGAGAATAAATTGGTCCTTACATTTCAGCCCACTATTCAACGTAGGCTTCTTTGCTTATTACTATACAATAGATTGTGTTTTCTAAGTTATTACTTGAAGTACTCTAGAAAAGTACATTTCAATACAAAAAGTAAAATATTTCTTTCATGTATAACAAGCTTTGGAATATTACTCTTTTTTTTTTAAAGGAATTAGTTATTTTCTTTCATTTATTATTTTTTTTAATTTGACCAGAGAGAGAAAGGAAGAAAGGAAGCTACCAGGTCTAGGACTCAAACTATAATCAGCCATGTGGGAGCTCAGTTCCTTCACTACCACGCACCTACCGACCCCAGAATATTCTTTTTAATTTTTTGTACACGTAATTATTGTATATCTTAACAGTCTAAGTATAGCTTTTTTCAAGGCATATTGCAATGCATATTGATCAAGTCAGAGATATTACCATATACATCATCCTCAAAAGGTCGCTTTTCATTGTTGTGTCGGCTAAGTGTCTTTTTCCTGAGTCCCTCCTCCAAAGCCTCCCTAACTCAGAATATTCTTAACCCTTCTTGCTGCCTAATGAATGCTTACTGGACTTATAAATTCAGTAAGCTTATTTCTTTATTTGAGATTGGAAAAACCTAACAGCGATTGCTTCAGAAATGAACAACAGCTAGATTATTACAAGTACTCTTATTTCAATTTTGTTCTTCACAGTTATACTAAAATAAGGGTATTTCTTATAATTATCTAAAGTCTTTGATGATTGCGAAAAACAGGTATCAAATAAGGCAAGTATGAATCCTCAAATTCTGCTTGCAATGTTAAGTTAAAAATGCCTGTTGTGGGACTAGCAGATGGCATAATGGTCACATCACTGGATCCCCACATAGTCAACCACAGTTCGAGTCCCAGACCTGGCAGTTTAAAACTCACACTGTGTGCATGTGCATGCATGCCCAAAATTCCAAGAGGAGAATAGAGAAAAAGGGATTGTGGTGTGGCCATCCCCTCTGTCTCTCCAGCAAGCACAAGCACCCTACAGCAAAAATCTCTCCAAAAAATAATAATAATAATGCCTGTTGCACAGCCAATTATAGCTGGTTGTGGGCTCACATTTTCCACAATCTCTGTTGGCATGGTTGTTGCTTGCTGGCAAAGAAGCTCGTTACAGCCCTATTAAATAGAGCAAATGATGACAATGGTAGACACTGCAAACTAACCATTATGGAAGAATTTCACCATCTTAAAAGATCTATGAGTCAAGAATAAATGGTTCCACAGAAAAAGACTATCAGAAAACACTGACACCTCCAACCTACGTTTTTCTCTCTACCTTCTACACCTCCTAGACAAGAAGGGACTTGGTCCTAATCCACAATCTTCTGTGCCCACATGTAAGCCATTATGGGTAACTGTGCTTGGAATTTAATTTCACATCTGCTCTTCTGTAGCCTTTGGAAATCTAGGACTTTCTCTGACAATTGTTTGCAAAGGCCATAATCACAGGCATCTGTAACTGGATCCCCAGCTACAGGGCAAAATGCCACAGAATCCCAAGAGGCTTTTGGTCAAACCTTACTTGGTTTCTCTTGTTCACTTTAAAACTACACTGGGCCTTCAACTTGCACAGAGCTGATTAGCACTAGAAGGGGGCCAGGTCCTCTGTATCATCCTCACCACAAAAGTGTAGGCAAATCTTTACCATTTCCCGTCCACCTTCCCAAAGAGGCCTGGTGGCCCTGGTGGGGTAATCTCAGCTAAGGTCAAGTGAGGGTCCCTGAACCACTTCATGCCCTGACCCCCCGTGGTTCCAGAATCCCAGAAGGGGGCATGAGGATGTTTTCTGGTTGCCAGACAATAGATACCACTAGTACATTTTCAATTCTTCGAGTTGGCTCCTTGAGTCATTCAGAAACTGTGTGGCTCAGGAGCTAGGTCTGCCCTTCCTAATCACAGCTGGCCACTAGCACATCATGTGACCTTGAGCAACACAACTAATTTCTTTATGTCTGATCTATGTTTTAAAAGTTAACGGCATGGCCGGCAGGTGGCATAGCGGTTGAGGCGTTGGACTTCCACATGACCGACTGAGGTTTGAGTCCTGAATTTGGTGGCTTGATTTTTCACTCTCCCTTTCTTTCTGTCTCTCTCTGAGCAAATGGAAATAAATAAATAAATAAATAAATCTTTTTTAAAAAGGTTAATGCCAACCACTTCTCAGATTGGAACTGCTTTACTTTTCATCCTACAAACACAAAAGTCAAATGGAACTAGTTTTTGTACTAACTCAGCCAGTACTGACTTAGTAACTCTGAGCAAGCAACTTCCCCTCTGGGTACCTCAGTTTTAAATCTGCTTTCTAGCCATCTCTCATTTTTTCCTCATGAGGAACAAATGTACAATATACATAGAAGTGATCTTCAAAGGACGAAGCTCTGTTAAAATTCTAAGGTATTATAATTTCTGTCATCCTCACTAACCTCTTTAAAAGTTCCATGCTGATAGTTCAGAGCTCCGGAACCAGAGAGGTTAGGCTAACAGAAGTAATTTAACTGTCCGGAGCCTCAATTTTCTCATCTGCGAAGTCGGAATAAAATAATAATACCTAAGAGAATTAGTGTTAGGATTAAAAAAGCACTTAAAACAGTGCATTAATTACTCTCATTATCTATGATTCACCTTGCTTTGTTATCTCATAAGGCATCTTTCACAATCAATTTCCATTTTTAAGCCATTCAACATTAATGTACTATGAAAAGGGGAAGGACTAAGAAATATGTTTATCTTATCTCATTGAATCCTGCCAACCAACAGGGGTGGCGGATTTTATTATTCCTCTTTTTAAGGGAAGTTCTGGAAGGTCAAATGGCTATCACATGGCAGCCAGGATTCAGAGTCAGGCCTGTATGATCCGGACTGTTTTCCATGACAACCAATTTCCATTCAGATGTAACAAAGCTTTCTTTAATAACTGAGAAAGTCATCTAAGTTTTATAGGCAGTGTGGTTCAAAGTCTTCAGCCAAAGAGAGCACTAGACTTGGAGTTAAGCAGTCGAGATTCAGCTCAAAAGATGCCTATTCCCCTGCCCCTCCTCAACCTCCACTCTTGTGAACAGGTAGGCAGAGACTCTGCCCCACGCCTAGCTGGGTGGACTTCTGGGAGGCATTTGCCACCCAGAAGATTAAGTGCCAGTTCCTGTGCACTTCCTCCAACAGAGCACAGGTTGGTTCCATGAGGTCTGACATGACATCTGGTTCACCTGTATGCCCAACACCCCGCCTGATGCCCAGCCCCGCACGGGACACAATATGGTTAGCTGAGTGAACATGTGAATGGTAGCCATCTAGATGGTCCTCACTGCACAGAGGACTGCTTCATTTGACAAGGACTAGAATGAGAAAGGAGCCCAGAAATAAACCTGACCCTGTAGGGTATCCCTTCAGAAGATGGTTCGTGACATACTCAAGGCCACATCTTCTAAAAAGTATTTCATTAGCTTATACAGTAGAAATAGATCCAACTAAACTAACACTATTATGAAACTTAACTAGGCCTCAGTATAGCCTTTACATTTTTTTCATTTTTTTTGGGGGGGGGGTGTCCAGGAAGTCACCAAAATAAAAACAAAATAAGCAATAGTTTTAGAGACACATTGTAGTGAAAAGTACCTCACAACAGAGCAGATACAAACTTAAAGACACTAATTGACTATATAAGCAAAACAAAATTCAAACTCACTATGCTATATACCTAGAACTTCCAAGTCAACTGACCTCACTTTTTTATTTTTATTCACTTCCTTCTGAATTTATATATTTTTAAACAATTAATGAATACCAAAGATATAGTTTCTTTTTTTTTTTTTTTTTGGAGAGGTTTTTGCTATAGGGTGCATGCGCTCGCCAGACAGACAGAGAGAGACAGAGAGACAGAAAGCGAG